TGACTTTAGCAAAATTAATTTCAAAAAGTTCAGAAAACTATCAAGTATGATTTTGTAGCTAGAGTCTTCAAGAGGCTAATAACTGACAACAAAGAGAAAATTAGAAAAAAATATTTCTGACCAAGCAATTGCAAATAACATCAATGCAAAGTAGAGGGAAAAGAATAAAATAAACCAACTTAAAGGGTTTTCTCATATGAGCTCATATTAAAAAATATATAACTTTAAGAAGGAGGACACATATGCAAGGAAGAATAAAAAAATAACAATGTGAACCAGTAAGAATAGGCCAGGTTTGGTTTAAATAAGGTAACAGCAAAAGGTTTTCAAAGTAAGATCAAGAAAAGTTAAATACCCTGACCAGGTAAAAAGACAGAGAAGACAGACCTTGTCCAACTCCTATCATGATTCCCTTTTCTGTTAGAAGGGTTTTCAACCTGAAAAGGATATAACAAAAATCCTAATAAACAAAATGCAGCCCGAGGAAGTTGAGGGCAATTTACACATGTCAATGCCATTAAACACAGAGACTATAGTCCAAGAAACAAATTCTTAACATGGACTACAGAAATGCAGTTTATAAACATTTAGGCACTAGAAATTTCCCTGTTTTAAAAAAGTTTTATTTTCATCTTTGACAGTTATACCTTTTTGACAGAAGAAATCTGAATGTTTTATTGACAACAGCAAAGCATTTCACAAAGTTTTAAGTAACATTATTATATATTTGTTCCCCTATATTTTGTAAGGTTGGTCTGTAGCTTAGCAAACAAGAGGATTAAACAATCACCCAAAGGCCACCAGAAGAATACTCTTTAGTAAGCCTTGCCTGGTCCCATTTAATTTATTTTATCAGTAATTTCAACAAAGGGGAAAAAACCCAAAAAAACCTCTAGAAAGCCTTGCCTTGTCCTGTTTGATGGGTTTTATTAGTTGCTTGAATATAGACAAGAAGTTGATGTGTTTATGAAAATGTGCAGGTGATATACAGCTGTATGGAAAACCTAACACCCTGACACTTTAGAACAGGGTTAGTTTTAAAAACCTCGCTAGTATGAAGGGCATGTGAGCCATTACTAAAATTTGAAGGATTTTTTAAATGGATAGGTTGGTTCTCTGTAACCCCAAAGTAGAATCACTGAGAAGAAGGTATAGGGGAACAAATTTCAGGGTGAAAAAAGGATAAACTTCCTAACAGAGTGATATAAAGATGGTATGTGCTCCTTCTTCCAGTAATGAGCTTCCAATTACTGAATATACATAAGCATGAAATAGACAACTAGTTCTTAGTAGCTATGAGAGATTTTCAAATTAGTTTTAATTAAAGAACCATTGCTCTGCAGACTGATATACAAAACAAATGAAGAGAAAAAAAAAAAAAAACTGCTGTAGTTAAAATTCCCTACCACATCTCACATTTAACTATTCTAGAATTAGATCAAGTGATCTCTGATTATTAAAGCTACAATTTCTCAAGCTTTGTTCCCCAAATAATTTAGATGAATGGTCTCTCAAATGGAGTGAATGAGAGGATCTGTTGGAGGTGTGGAGAAAATCAGAACATAGACACACACACACACACACACACACACACACACACACGTATCAAAATAAGAAATTATACTTTATAGATTGAGACTAGTAATTTAAGAGTTTGTCATGTCAGAGCCATAATCAACTATAATGCTCCCAGAAACTGAGGTATTTTAACAATTTAAAAAGAATGCAAAAGTTTTTGAGAGAGAAAAAAAATCTACATCTACTAATTTAACATAACTTTTTTTATTTTTTATTTTTTTGCATATTTCTACCTAGTCCCTATTCACATGTAAGCACACATTTAGGGAATTATCAACATGATACTTAAAAAAATTTTTTAAAGATTTTCTCCACATAAATTGAGTATTTATTTCCACTAAGCTAATAAAAATGGAGATTCATAATGTATTAAAATGATTTCCTACTGCTGAGCATTCAAATCAGATTGGCTCTCCTTTCTGTTATTATGTAGTTTCTAGAGGCCCGATGCATGAATATCTGTGCAAGAGCAGGCCACCCCCTGGCACCCGGGACCCAGACTTCTCTCGCAATCCCAGCTTTGTCTGGAACGACCTCAGTCTAATTAGCATATTATGCTTTTATTATTATAGATTGCTATCTCTGTACACGTAGATGTATCCTGAAGATAAATCCTTACAGTGGAATCAGTGAACTAAAAAGTATAAACTTTAATGGTTCTTGTTATACACAGTGATGCTTTCCAGTGGGTCTTAATCAATTCACCTGTAGCTACTACTTGGACCTTGAACAAAACACAAGCTGCGGACTCTGTACATTTTGTACCTTACTTCTCAGAACTCTATGCAATGGGTAGTTACTATTCCTGTTTTATGGCTAAAGAAACTGAAGCTAAGGGAGGCAACAGAGAGTATGTATATTTTAAGGTCTTATTAAAAAATATAATTCACACCATCAAATTCTTATTTAAAAAATATATAAGCATACATATATATTTATTTAAATACAGGCAGCTGTTCACATCATACAGTCAATCCATTCATCTAGATCAGCATTTCCTGATATATTTGATAACATACTTGGCGACCCTGACTACTTTGGCCCCAAAGAAACTATTTTCCTTTAACTATACTGTAGTGTTATTCCTTTAGCTTACAAGAGGGATACTTAGAAGTATCCACATGAAACTCACTATTACATTTATTGTTGAAATGATTATGAGAACTTCATTTATTATATCTCTTACTATACCAAATCCAAGGCCCTGAGGCGGAAGAAACACTTTTCACAGCAGGGCAGAAACACTTTGCTTCTCCTAAGCCACAAGTGTACTTTTAATCTAATCAACAGTGGAAAATTTTTAACAGATAACATTTATTTGCTTTAGCCACAAGGAAGCTCAGAGCAATATCTGAAATCCTCTTTGGTAACTATTAAGCTATTCAAGGTATGCATTTTTCTAAATTAATTTTAGCTCTGTCTCAGCCTACTATTCCTCTGTTAAGTTCCCCATCCCCTGATTTACTTCAACTTTGAAGTAAACTTTAAGGATCACCGTCCAGTGCAGTTTCCATATTTATGTGGAAATCTGATTTCAGTAACTATAAGAATATATGTGTGTGTCTGTGTGTGTGTGTGTGTGTGTGTATGTATGCACATAAAGCAATGAAAATATTTTTTGGGTAACTACTATAACCTGCATCAAATATAAAAATAACCTTACACTCCTACTAGGCAAATTGCCTAAAAACCTTAGTTTAGTATCTCACATTAAGAAGATCACTTAGCCCTTGCCGATTTGGCTCAGTAGATAGAGCGTCAGCCTATGGACTGAAGGTTCCAAGCACACTAGAAACTCCAGCACTTAGTTTACTACTGATATTTCCGGCCAAGGGAACATGCATGGGTTGTGGGCTTAATCCCCAACAGGAGATTAAGGAGATTGGAGGCAGCCAATCAATAATTCTCTATCATCATTGATGTTTCTATCTCTCTCTCCCTCTCTTTTCCTCTCTGAAATCATTTAAAATTATTTAAAACTTTCCAATCATAATTCTTATTTTTTATTCACAGTCTAAAGTAATTCTGATAAAACTCTGGAAACTAACTCTCCAAGCAAATGCATTTAGTTCAGGGTTAGGGTATATTTCAGGTTTTGAACAATCAACATAACCTAACCTGTGATTTGGTAAGTTATTAATAATTCATCTAAGCAATCTATCTTCGTTTTAAATAAATAGATCATATATATATATATATATATATATATATATATATATATACCCTGTATTTTACATTTAAAAAATTTGAAACATATTTCAGTACATATTTGTTTTTATAAAATTTCTCCAGGAGAGCACTGCCACTCATTTTACAGAAATGAGAAAACTAGAAAGATATACTAAAACTAATAAAGTTTTATTTTAATGCCTTTCTCAAGGTAGCATGTGCTAATAAAACTAGAAGTGAAAAAGAGAACTTTTCCGACTTCTGGAATAAAGATAGGACATGGACTAGCATGAAATGTTTTTAATCTTTACTAACAATGTCTCAAAAGATTAATATTGGACGAGAACAAACAACTTCGTGTCAGACAACTGATGGATTCTGACTTTACAGTTAAATACAGGGGACTAATAATAAAAGATTTTATCTCCTGCAGCATGAATGCCCTTAGGCAAAAATGGGTCTGATCCAACTTAGTTCAATGTAATAAATGATTTAATGAAAATAAAGTCAGCTTCTGACATCTGCTTTTTGTAAGAAAAGAAGGGATGGCAAATTCTGAGCCTGAGTATGCTACCTAATATATTTCTAACTTCATTTTAAACAGCATCCAGCCATTCTTCAGAACTTCAATTCACATGAGGGTTGGGTATTTTCAGCATATCTGTAATGACAGTGATTTGTACTAAATCAGGCCACACCATTAATTGGCTAAATGACCGGCAGTATACTAAGCTGTACCCTGGGAGACCATGAGGGCTTTTTTTTGATAGAAGACCTAGTCATATTCTGATCTAAATCTTAAATGTACCTGCATTGCAGTTTAGTCCTGTCAAATGATTAAACTCACCAACCTATATTTTATACTTCTTAAAACTTTGCCTCTCTAGTATACTCATAGTTTACATTCAGGGTGTTGGAACTAAAGTGAATTATCTTCAATGACATGTTTGTACAGATTCTACTATTGGCATCTCACTTGATATACAAACAAGAAATTATGTGGAAAGTATGACTTTAAAAATAACAAATTAAATATAATCAGGTATTTCACCTTCTATACAAAGTTATTTATGGGATTCTTTTGTGCTTTTTGAAAATAGAGCACTATTTTATTCACATTTATTCTTTTGGCTGTGCTGTCGATACTTAGAAGATATTAAATATTCATATGTCTCAAAAGAAATAAAATGGAGGTAATCATATCTTAAAAAAACACACAATATATTTTTATAGAAGAGATTTATTGTTCTCACCTGAGGCTGCTGTGGCATTTGTTGGGGTTGAAGCAGCTGCTTGAATCCGAGCATGAGGAGGAATAAGGATGGTAGCTAGAGTTGGATTACTGGACAGTTCTAGAGAAACAGTAAGAAGACATAGGTTAGAGCTCACTTTTCACTTTGTATGTGAAACTACTTTATTGGTAACAATATGTGATACTACAGTGAAACATTAGTTTAACAGAAAAAAAAAATGTGATAAACCTACATCCAAAACTAAATGAGCTTCAGAGAAACCAAGATACTATAATATCTGCTAAAATTAGAATATGTTTGAGAACTCAAGATATCTGGGAGAAAGTCTGAGATTAAGCATGTTAATAAGATCTATTTCCATCATTTAATAACTTAAATATACTAGATTTTCCCAAACTAGTATTTTCCCAAATATCTGACTAAGGAATTGAGGGTGAAAAAAGAGAATGTGACTATAGTTCATGTGTTTGAACACACAACTGCATGCACAGAACAATGCACGCATTGTCTGTAAGGCAAGGGCAGGTAAGAACCAGTTATCCAAACATTCGTGAAAACAGATTTAACCAGGCATTTCTTTTTTAATATATTTTTATTGATTCCAGAGAGGAAGGGAGAGGAAAAGAGAGATAGAAACATCAATGATGATAGAGAATAATTGATCAGCTGCCTCCTGCACGCCTCCTACTGGGGATAGAGCTTGCAACCCAGTTATGTGCCCTGACCTGAATCAAACCGTGACCTCCTGGTTCATAGGCTGATGCTCAACCTTTGAGCCATAATGGCTGGGCTAATAAGCATTTCTTTGAAGTTTCACTGCTTTTACTAAAAAGTAAGAATGTCTTTTATTCAATTCTATTTTGCTATGAATTCAGTAGGAATTCTAAACTTTTTAAAAAAAAGTTCCGAATAGGCTTTTTACCTGCATGTGGAAAGTTTATTTCTGCCAACTGTATACAGACTAGCTTTCTTTAAAGAATCAAGTTGTGTATATAAGCCTTAAGAAGTAATTCAAAGACGATATTGAATCTAATGATATAGACAGCAAGGCGTGGTGGTGAGCTTGTATATAGAAGTATCTGGTGTTAGCTTCAGGTAATGTGACTGGTCTCCCAACATTTAACCAGTGAGTGTTCATTTTCACTTTAATAAATATCACAATTTAAAGGAATAATTATAAGACTATACTAGCTTCGGAAGGAGGTTATCCTTTGAGCTGCAGCATACATATTGACAATTCACAGATACAGAATGAAATTTTTAAAGTTATGAAATAGTGATTTTTAAATTATATAAAATTCACATAAAAATTAACCATTTTAAAGTGTATAATTTAGCGACATTTAGTATATTCACAATCTTGTACAACCTTCACCTCTATCTAGTTTCAAAACATTTTCATCACCCCAAAAGGAAACTTCTGAGCAGTTCCCATTTATCACTCCCTCCAGCAAGTAGCAAGGGAAACAATGTTTTTGTTCTTTTTGTTAATCCTCACCCGAGGATATTTTTTTCCATTAATTTTTAGAGAGAGAGGGAGGGGGAGAGACAGAGAGAGAGAGAGAAACATAGATGTGAGAAAGACATCGATTGCTTACATCCTGCATGAATCCTGACCTGCACCTTGTATGAGTCTGCAAACAAGGTACATGCCCTTGAATGGAATCAAACTTGAGACCCTTCAGTCTGAGGACTGACACTCTAACCACTGAGCAAATCGGCTAGGAAAGGAAATAATGTATTAAACAGTATATTAAAAATATTTTCTGGTACAAAACCCCGTTAATATTGACTTAATCAACTTGGTATCTAACTACATTTTGTTCTAAATTAGATACTAAATGATACCCGAGATTCAACAAGAAACAAGCTGATGCCAAGATTTATAAAAACAAGAGGGTGAAAAACTTACAACTGAGAAAGTTATGATTTTTCCCCCTTTAAATGAGAAAACTTAGGTCAGCTCTTCAAATAACTGTCTTTCTTCCCTCAGAAGACAGTTGAAAACCACTGCCCTAATGATCAGGTTCCAAAATATGCTGTATTCTCATAATCAATTTTAGGTTCTTATTAAGGAACAGAAAAATCCTATGCTGTTTTGTTCCATGTCTATTCAATTTTAACTGCAATCTTATACATAGAGCATAGCAAGAAAATCCTAGGTGCCACGGCTGGGATGAAAAAAGGGAATGTGACTATAGTTCATGTGTTTGAACACACAACTGCACTATTTTATTCACATAAAAATGACTACAGAATGTGGTATTCTCAGTAACTTAAAACAAAGTCAGATTTACCATCACAATTAAGATAAAAATCTGCTAAAATAGAAAGGCTTCTTTAAAATCCATCTATCCATTGAACAATACTGAACATGAAACAGTATGTTAGATCCCAGGATAAACATAGAGAGAAAATGTTAACTGTCTATGTCTGATCAACAGATAGAGAAAATAGAAAGACATCTAGACAAACAAGTTGGCAAGAAAGGCATTCAACCTATGCAGGATACAGGCACTTTTAAATTAAAAGATTTCTATGACCAAATGCCCAACATCTAAAAATAAGAACATATGACCAAGAATTTTAATGTACGACTTTTGGACAAAGCTGCTTTTAAGAGAATCTTTAAAATAAACTCATTATAAGGTTTGTGGTCACTTTACTCATGGTCCATGCTGCCCATTTACTCCCATTTGTTTACCCTCTTTTACTAGATCACCTATCATCTTGTATCTATATGCCTACTTGAGGAGCCACCGTGGTTTTATGTGTGCGCATGTACACGCACGCGCACACACACACACACACACACACACACACACACACAGAGAGAGAGAGAGAGAGAGAGAGAGAGAGAGGAAGAGAGAGGGACAAGGGGAGAAGGGGGAGGAGGAGAAGGGGGAGGAGGGGGAGGAGGGAAAGGAGGAGGAGGGGGAGGAGGAGGAATTGGGTGGGTGGGATGGGGAACATTTCTGTAAACTTTTCTGTCAAACATTTTAAAAGTGAAGAATTCTAAACTGGACAATCACTTACAGTTCTATCTCCCTCCAAACCCTTTATCTCACTGTCCTCTTTCTTAAGCACAGGCATTCCTTAAGGCCCTCGCTTTCCATCTATAGCTCTTTTCCACTTCTGAGAGCTTGTTCACTGTCACAGCTTCTGTCTGTGCGAATGAAGAAGCCTCCTTGCACTCTTGTTATAGTCCTTTTTCTACACTACAATTTTGTCCTTTTTGTGGGTGCTTCTATGGGGATTTCACAAGTAGTCCAGTATGCTTGTATTTGTTTTTTGCTCACAATTACTATCTATTCCCAATCTCTCTATCTATGTCCATTAGTAAGGAAATTGAGACTCAAATGCAGTAAAAGGATGACATTTTGGAGGACAGAAATAGCAAAGCAACTGAACTTTTCAAGATCAGGAGAGTGCATGTATTCTTAAATATATAGAGAATAAGAGTGTAGAAGAGACTGAAAATAAAAAAGTAAGCTAGTATTTATTTACTAAATATGTGTGCTAGGCTTGAGAGCAGGAAGATAATTAAGGGAATAAAGAGGTCCATAATATTAAAGTGAAACTAACTGGACAAGAGGCAGAATTCTTGGAAAAAATAACAGACTGTTATTTCAGAGACATGATTCAAAACAACATGTCAACAAGTTCCAGAAATTTGTAGAAAAGTTAATTTATCATAAGGATTTCTTCAACCAATTGCTCATGCCATGAAATTATTCATCAAAAAGCAATTTAGTAGTTTATCAGGAAATATTAAGAATGTTCTAATGATGTATCAGTCATTATATGTTCCATAACCAAATATTTAATGGATGCACAATTTAAAGAAAAGCAAAATGATTTTCAAATAGATATCAATAAACCAACCAACATAGATATCCATCAACTAAAAGGTTAACAAATTTATTTAACTAAATTTTGCTGCATTGCTGTTTATATTGCAAACTACAGAATAAAAATTTCCACGAAAAGACAAACTGGATAAACTTAAACACACCTAGTCATCTGAAAAGACCTGAAGTTTCCCTTAATCTAAAATGTCTATTCTTCCAAATAGAAGATTCCAAAATTTAATGATAAAAGAAGCAGGCAAGAAACTTTATTTGTTGGGGGTGGGGTAGGCATATATGTTTGTTCAAACTGTGTAGTTTAAAAACTGAAGGTAAATTTGAGAGCCACAATCAATGTGTTAGCCAGAGGAAAAAGATAAAATAACTCCTTTGTTAACTAGACCTGCTCTTACAGTTATGTAATAAAATGCCAGTCATAAGGTAGAAGGGACTCTTCTTCCTTTGTTAGCTTTGAGGGAGCTCAACCCTGCAGATCCCCCAAAAGGAAACATTAAAAGGGTCAGACTTTGTTTGCTTCGGTACTCTTACTCTTACGTACATGAAAACTGGCAGTGATGGTCTACATAGTTAGGCTATTATTTCTCTCCTTAGTCACACAGGTTTAAATGATTTTAACAATGGTGCGCTCATTTCATTTGTGTACTTTTTTGAGCACTAATTCAAATGCTAGGATGATGCACCTTGATTTCACACATTACTGAACTTTATCATTTTTTTTTTTTAGTTAACAAGAAACATCCTCAAAACTGCTTTTCTTCTCCCCTAAGAATTTCAAAGTGCCTAGGGAATCCCTGATCAACTTACAAATCCTGACTATATCCCAACTCATTCAGAAAAATAAATACTAATTATAAGATCAGACAAATAGTTAACAAATAATGGCTTACTCTTTTTAAAATTTAAATTCTTTATTGTTTAAGATATTAGATAAGTCTGCTCCCCCCCCCCCATTGACCCTCTAGCACATGTGTGCTGTCATCCCTCCCTCCCCCCACAACATCTGTGTCCACTGGTTTTGCTCATATGCAGTGCATGCATACAAGTCACAGGGCTTACTCTTACTCCTGCTGTTTGGTGATACTGGCGATGTTTCACATGAGGACAAAACGATATCTGTAAAACCCATAACTACTTTGCCTCAGAACTGCCCAAGAGAGAGCATCACAACTTACACTAATCACTCCAAAATGCATGGATGTGTTTAGTGCACTACATTTACAGTAGTGATAT